ACGGTAGGGTTGTTGGAAACCCACTTGTTCTGGGGCTCGAGGGCGATACGGGCACCGTTGGCACCACCACGCTTGTCGGAGTGACGGAAGGTCGAAGCGGAGGCCCAGGCGACGGAGGCGAGCTTGGAGACGTCGAGACCGGCGGTGCCGAGAATGTCAGACTTGAGCTTGGTCACATCAGCATCGTCAATGAGCTCACCCTCCCTAGCGGGAAGGGGATCCTGCCAGCCGAAAGTCTCCTTGGGGATCTCAGGACCGAGGTAGCGGGCGACGGGACCCAAGTCACGGTGGAGAAGCTTGAACCAAGCCTTGGCGAAGGCGTCGGCGAGCTCCTGGGGGTGGTCGAGCCAGCGGGTGGTGATGTTGAGGTAGGACGGGTCGTTGATGAGAGCCAAGTCACTGGTGAGCATGGTGGCCTTGCGGAACTTGGTGCTGTCAAAGGGGTCGGGGTAGTCGAGGGTGCCGTTGACAGCCTCCCACTGGTGACCGCCGGCAGGGCTGGTGACGAGAGTCCATTTGTTGTGAATGAGAGACTCCAAGTAGCCGTTGCTCCATCTGCAGGTACAAGGATTAGCGTCGGTGTGTCACTGCATAATCACCCGGTGTGGTTGGTGTATAAATAGCTTTTCTTGGCCTCATCGTTTGTCGCCTCATCATTTCTCCCATGACCTTCTCTTTCTCTCAAAGGCGAGTGTTCGGCAAATGAGAGATACAAGACCTCTCAAGAGTGAGTGGAGGGGGAATGGGAGTGACTGGAGTGCCAAGACCCTGAGGGGCGCAAATCATATGCAAACGGAAATAGACTCATCACAATCATGACTTACTTGGTAGGGGTCTTGGTCCAGACAACCTCAAGACCACTGGTCATCTGGTTGACACCGTTGCCATCGCCAACGCTGTTGTGCCATCCGAGACCCATCTCGCCAAGGTCAGCGGCCTCGGGCTCGCCTCCAATGTTGCCTATGAGAGACGCCGGTTAGCATTTGCATGTTCCAAAAGTGGCGGTGAAAATCGCGTGTTCCCGGGGGTGAGCCGGAGCTCTCTCCGGAGGCGCTCAATTATTGCGCGTTCGTCCGACTTGCACCGGGATGGTGAAGAGGGGACGCGTGAATGAGGTGCAACTCACTTGCAGGCACAGCACCGTGCGTCTTGCCGAAGGCGTGTCCACCGGCGATCAGAGCGACAGTCTCCTCATCGTTCATTCCCATGCGATCGAAAGCGACGCGGATGTCCTTGGCCGAAGCGGCGGGGTCGGAGCTGGCATCGGGGCCCTCCGGGTTGACGTAGATGAGACCCATGTGGGTGGCACCCAGGGGCTTCTCAAGCTTGTCGGCGCGCTCGTTGATGTCGGTGCTGCCATTATAGCGGACATCGTTGCCCTTGGGGACGAAAGTCGTCTCTCCACCCCAGTAGACGGACTCATCGGATTGCCAGGTATCGGGACGGCCAGCGGCGAAGCCAAGGGGGGTGAAGCCCATGGACTCGAGGGCGACGTTGCCGGTGAGCAAGTACAAGTCGGCCCATGAGATCTTGTTGCCGTACTTTTGCTTGATAGGCCCTGTAAAACATGGAAGAGGTAGGATTAGCAAACGTTTCTTCTCTCTCTCTATCTCTCAAGAGCCCCACAACAACGCTCTATTCGCGCCATCGAGCCACGGCAAAAGTGGATATCGCTACCGAGTCGATGATGCAAGTCGAACATGGGTGGGCCGAATCACAAAAGAGCGCATAAGGATAGGAAATCTTACACAGCAGGCGGCGAGCCTTGTCGAGGTTCTGGTTGTCAGGCCAGCTGTTAAGCGGAGCGAAACGTTGTTGGCCCTGCAGCAGTCCAATATTAGTAAACGCCAGTCCTCAAGAAGAATCAAAAGATGTGATAAGATGCAAACAGCCCAGGTCTATATTTCGTGACGCGGTGCGGGTGGAGAAAAAGTCGACAGAGATGCTTTAGCACCTCTTGGCTTTGGTCCGGGATAGGACAAAAACCTCCGTCTAACCAATTGAGATTCCAACGCGAGACGAATAGGACCGCGAAGAGATGATCAAGTGCAACGGTAGGCAAGGAATAAGAAATATGCTAAAATGGAGGGGGGGTTACAACGCGGTGTTTCTTCCAGCTACCTCGTGCCAAGTGGGAAAGCACTAGGAAGACCGGGAGAGCGGGGGGAGGAGGGAAGGACTTTCGGGATAGCATAGCCAAAGAGAAGAGAGTAAAACATAAGCCAAGAGGTGTAGTGAAGAAAAAACGGCTCACCATTCCACCGCCACCTCGGCCGTCAATGGCGCGATAAGTGCCGGCGCTATGCCAGGCCATGCGGATGAAGAGACCGCCATAGTGGCCAAAGTCGGCGGGCCACCATTCCTGGGACTCCGTCATCAGGGCGTGGAGGTCCTTCTTCAGAGCCTCATCTGTCGTGGGGTGTTAGTGAGGATCCTCCCACACATCGTTTATTCTTTCCCCTCCCAATTGAATCTACTCACAATCCAGAGAGTTGAAAGCCGCAGTGTAATCGAAATCGCCTCCGTACGGGTTGGTCGCGGGCTGGAATTGGCGAAGAGTATCGAGTCTAAGCTGGCAAGGCCACCAGTCGTGGCTGCGGGTGCCGCCGCCAGCCTGGTTGCTGATTCTCGAGCATCGGCCGAAGCCCTCGGCCGTGTCCCTCTTGGGGAGCTCGCTGGTGACGGAACCATCGCGTTTGGCGAAAGGGCAACCCTCAGCCGTGACGGCGGGCAGGAGAGCAGAAGCTGCCAAAAGGCAGCTTGAAAGTTTGGCGTGCATGTTGACAAGACAGATTGATCCAGAGGACGTTCAAAGAAGGAATGACTAGGTGAGAGTGAGACCGGGGGGTAGCAGACTCAACGGGTGAGAGATGAGTGTGTTCCTGAAGAAGAGGAAACAGATCTTTATTCCAAGATGGGACGAACCCCAGGACATAAGTAATAAACTGTGACGACCTACGACTCACGAGCAATGACACGGTTTCTGGCAGGTACCACGAGCCACGATGGAGCATCTCCATGTGGGAATAATTTGATTCCAGAACTCCATGATTAGTAACAATACCAAGACCTGCGAAGGCCGCTTCCAAGCCCGGCGTCCCCAATGCTGCGCAAGGCATCGCTGACGGGGGCCTTGGTAATAAGCTTCCTACAACGGCAGTCGAGTCGGTATTGCGCACTAAGATGCCCCATGGCAAGGTTTGCGATCCAGAGTAAGCGCCTGGAATAACAATCTTGTTTGATTAGGATGGGCGTGAACATACGCAGATTGGCAGATGGCTCTTTGGTGTGGTCTGATCCGCTTTTCACACTTTTGGGCAGGGATGTGTCCTAAGCGATGTCCATATGGGTGAAACTTACGGCAACTTGTATGGAGAAGACATGGGGCCCAAGGAGGAGAACACACCAGGATGGAGTTGGCGTGGCCGGGATTATGAGTTCAGATGTTGATCCATAGCCAGGCATAAGCTAGGGAATCCGGGGAGCTGACGAGCTGTGCTCCCTGCTCCGATGGTCAACAGTCAACAGTATGATGCGGGCCGGTGCCAAGTTACTGGGTGACTGGAAGAGTAAGGTAGTATTTCTGTAAAGCCTGCAATAATTCACACCAACCGCGACCAATTGTGCGATGACAGTTTCCAAGCTGCGGGAGCCACTTTTGAATCTAATAGACTTCGCCCCCTAAACTCCGAAGAGCAACAAATCGGATCATATCAACCCGCCCTCTCCCTGCTATATCCTGCTGTACCCTGTCTGTAAACACCACTTAGAAGTTAGGACTGCATATACACTTAGCATTTACGGAGCTGCCCGCGCGCAACGGGCTAATTGATGCCTCCGTCATTCATCTGGCTTCTGCGGACTTGCGACTTTGTTCCTAGCGAAGCTCCTAGAGAGTCTCGAGAATCCATGTCCCAGCAAAACCCCCCGAATGCAATGCCGGGTGGGAGACTAGACAACCTAGCTGTACATACGGAGTAGACAACCTGCCATTACAGGTCTAGACTCTAAAGAGTCGCACAAGGTTTTGGCCCAAATCGCGACCACCCAACATGGGATGAAGGAAGCTTTTCATCAATCGTGCATTGACTCAGCCCTACCTCCCTCTGGCGGCGGGCAAGTATTTGGGTGTGGAAAGAAGCAAAAGCAAGCCTCTGGAGGGGAGGATCTGGAACCCGAACGCCTTCCCCCTCCTAGACGACCCTCTTCGACGATCCATCCCCGCGCCGGCCGGCCGTTGATGGCGGCCTTCAACGGCCTCGACTGGAACGCACGGCACAGAAACACTCGGAACCACAGTCCACAGACATACTGCAAGGTGACACCACCCACACAGACATGCGGGCGGGATGGGATGCAGCCAGGCGGCGTGGCAGATCAACACGCCAGCTGCAAGCACGAAAGAAACCCTCGACAGGCCGGGCCAACCCAGCCAGCACCACCATCCTGAACAGGAAGGCTAGATTTGAGGTACGCGAGTATTCGTGCATGCACCTTACAGTAAGAGAGCTGTCGGCCGAAAATCCTGCGACCCCGGCTGTGCCCGTGCCAAAAGATTGCCCCCGAGTAATACTGTATAGCCACATCAGTCACCCCGTCCACCTGTTCTGCCAAGATGCTTGGCGAGGTGGCTTCTCATCACATGCAGAGTCCCCTTGGGCCTTGGACACGCAACACCATTCCCTTGGCTTGGAACTGCGAACCCGGAGGCCCTTGGGAGTTTGCTGGGGTAAGCCGCACTGGGAAGCACGGCGACAGCAGAGGTAGAATCTGGCGCTGGGAGTGGCTGAGATGAGAATGAGATTGCCGCCCTGTCAACTACCGTAGCGTGCAACTCTCTGAATCACGTTTATCCCTGTACACTGGTTTTGCTACTCGGCCGACACCCACTTGCCGACGGGTCATGAGCCTGTACTAGAAATGTGTCGAACCACATTGGCTGGGCACTGCACACTTAGTTGCCGGAAACATTACCCTCTTTCGTCTCTGCCGTACCAAGTATGCGTCCGCGGTGTCCGTGGCATGCTATAATCTTTTTCCTCCACAGACCACTGTCCATGTCCACCCCAACACGTGCACGACCAGCTATAGTTACCTATACGAAGGATGCAGTATTGAGGGGGCACGGAAAGTTTACTTTGCGATATCATCTCGGGGAACGCCACACAGCATAGGGGGGAGGGGAGCACGGGCAATTCAAGAACTGGGAGATTTGTTTTTCGGGGTTCATCTCACACCCTTCCACGCGCGCAAACTTACCAATGATGAATCATATCGCTTTTCCCCCTCCCACTATACCAAAAGTAAACTTGGAAACCTTGATCGACTCGGCTGCACCCTATTGTGATTATAAACTGCCTCAATTCTATAGGACGCCGGTCAAAGCCGTCAAGGATCACAGTGACAATAGACACGTTCTTCACTCCGTTCAACTTACCATTGTCTTCAATTGACTTTGCTCTGGGATGCCGAGGCGGACGACATTTCCATTTGGGAAGGACAGGCAGATGCAACCCGTGATCCATGTGATCAATTCTGCCAGCTTCCCTTGGAGTTGCATGCAAAGTCAGAAGTTTCCCAACTCACAGACCTGAGCTACTAAGTCAATTTTCATCGGACTCAATACTACTCAATATTATTCGTCTTCGGCGATGAACCAACCTGAAGGGTCAGCATGGACCATTATAGAAGTTTACTTTTTGGCATCCAACTACCTCACTGCCGAGTTCATGCAACATGATTTCGTAGTCACGAGTGATATCCAACAATGTTTGTAAGCTCAAGGAAGTGTAAGTGAACCGATTCTCGCTCAGGAAGCTATGCCCGTCTCGGCTTTTGATCATGGGCTTGTATTGGATTCAAATGGCATTGGCCTCGTGAGCGAAACTCCGTCGCGGACATGTTTACATCCGAGAGCAATTGACTAAATGTTCTTCAAGTCGTCAACACTTGTGTCCCATATCGAGTGAGCCTTTACTAACATTCACTATAATTGTACTCCAAAGTCAGAAGCCAAGAAGATTACCGCCTTGTCTGAAAATTGTAAGACCAGACGTACAAATTAGATGCCCACGTTCCTCTGCCAGTACAGACGAAGATGAAAATAACTCACACCACCAAGATGGTCAAAGAGAGCAGACATGTCGTCGACCTGATGTCGCAACTCAAACCAACGACGCGATGCGGACTAGGTTGAGCTGTGCATGCCAAGCTTGAGGGCCCAACTCCATCACACTGCATAAGCGGGCGATGCTCTCTTCTATTTTCAGCTTCCAATAAAGGAGGCTCGGTTCGTCAGCGCTCCTTGGTCTAGTCGGTATTACCTTCGTTGAAAGTGAGAAAGTGGCGCGATACTCGCTTTAGACTCATCCCGAACAACGATGTGCATCAATAAACTAGACCTCTTGTGAAGATACGGACAGACGTTCCCTGTGCAACGACACAGGATGGCCTGCAAGTGAGAGTTTCTGTGATGCTACCCTTACCCCGAGGCGCAGCAGTAAGCTGTCAGCAAACAAAGGATTGCGGGGCTTGGAATCGATCCGAGTAGCTGTCACCAAGGCACATAAGCATGCCAAGTAAACTAACCGCTCGGTCAGACAACGGTGAGTTCAGCTTGACGACCTGGAGAAGTCGGTAAGTATGAGCCTGCCCGGTATCCCACCAACTCCGGTCCCATGATATCAGTATACCGCCAATATCCCACGTGTCCCTCCACATGACCCGGCGCCGCGGGCCCGACCTTTGACAGAGTCCGTGTCCGTCCGTTAAGGGGGCCCCGCCCGGCCCGGCGCGCTTGGCAGGCCCGAAAGGGACCCCCGAGTCATACGCCAAGTCTATCCCACTGGGAAGCCGGTTGAAATAGCCCCTTAAACAATGCTTGATAAGTTCACGGGCACTGTTTTTATGTTTTCTGGATTGATATAGAAACCCGCCTGTTTCATCCGAATTGGAAAGCAGTGCAATCATTGCGAAACTTGGAACGGACATGGGATGACTCGGGTATCCTTGGCTAATCTCAGCGGTAAGAAAATAGAATCCAGATTTCAGATTGCCGGATCGATCCATCTTTCTATAGCCCGTAGCAAAAATGATTTGTTATCTTGTTCGCCAAGAAGAACGTGATTCTGCAAATTGCCTATTATAGGCCTGCTAGCGACCTGCAAAGAGCTTCACGGTGAACGATCTGTTTCTGATTGAATCAAGCTACATCACTTTGACTGGGCCCCTGAGCGCAAGCCTCGTTCAAGGCCGTCAATGAGCCTCCTGGCAATGCGCGCGGGCTCCCCTGATCGACCCCTTTCCGTCTCTTCCTCGAAGCTGCATCGCTCCGTCCACCAGTCCAGCCATGTCTCGGCCCGCGCACCCTCGTCTGCCCGAAGAAGCCCTACGCTGACGTCGATGACGTCTGGTCGCCAACTGTCGCGCCAGAATATCGTTGCACCGCAGTTACCACAGAATTCGCGAAAGACACCAGGTGAGGATTCGTATGTCTTCACGATCCCGGCGGGCAAGTCTACGAAGTTGAGCGGGAGGATTCCGGACTGGCCGTCGTCTGGTCCGGGGATGTGAAAGAAGATGTTGCATCGGGGGACGAATGCCCAGGTCTGAACCTCAAATCCGGAGATGAGGCGGCAAGACCGGCAAGCACAGGTTCCAGCCAAGTACTTTGTGCCGTTGCTTCGAATCCACCACTTGACGGTGTCGGGGTTCTTCATAAACTCGGCGGAATGTTCGACTTGAGCATATTGTAGGTCGGGGAAGCCGGAGTGCGGTAGATAGCTTTCTTCGGTTGGCCGTGTGATTTGGTAGCTCACCCTGCCACAGGCGCATGAGGCGTGCAGAGAGTCTTTTGAACAGCCAGCTGGCGTGGGAGGAAGCTTCGTCGTGGACTGTGATGATGGAGTGACCGGCGTTGTCGTCGATTCTAGCCGCTGTCCATCAATCTCGGACAGCCATATCGAGATCCCGCCGTCTTTGGTATCGGAAACGCCGGTGTGCCTTGCAAAACGCGCGTCCGCGCCAACGTCGTCGGCCGTGTTATGCAGTAGGACGCCAGTGGCTGCTTCCCACACAGTCACTCCATCAATATCTCTGCGTCTCAGGACATGGCATCCGCACGTGCTGCAAAAGTATCTTGTCCACCCGTCAACGCCATGAAACGCAGTCGTATCATCCGTTTGATGAGATTCATGAATGGGGTAGTAAGAGGCGCAGAGAATGCCTGTGGCGTGTCGATCAACGTCGCCATGGTTGATGGACAACTTGAGAGTCTCTCCGTGAGCAACGACAGACTGAACCTGCTGCGAGACGCCGCCGCAAAGGCAGGAGATGTTGAATGTATTGGGTGACATAATGGCTTTCTTTAACGTCAAAGACTTGGAAGTAATTATGCTGCAAGCTGCAGCAGGCGAGTGATTTATATGATGAATGATCTCTACTCCACGACCTTGACATCGTACGTGTAATGAATGGTTCAAGCTTGGATAAGCTGTCAGCAGATTCCCCGCATCAGCTTGCAGCATTTGATAACGGCACAGCCAGCCGGATCCCGATCAACCACCCCGAAAGCGGAGAGTCTTCTAAAGTGTCGGCGAATATCGACCCCGCAGTCGCCGGGGGCCTGCGTCGATCTAGGGCGTCTGTAAGGCGCGTTTACAGCCAACCGCGATTTGGGTGCGGAATATCGGGAAGCCTCTTTAGTGAGCCATGCGTTGTCATCTGACTGGTTGATTCTCCGCGGGTCTGATGCGAGATGCGCGGAGTATCGCACGACAGCCATGTTCTCCCAGAATCGTCATCGTTGACAGATTTACTGAGCGGTAATTATCCAGAGACTCCGTACTTGCGCCCGATAACGCCGGCTAAGGGCTGCAAACCTTTGGCAACAGCGTCAATAGCCAGGAGGTGGGGTGTTGAGTTCAAGATTGCCCAGTACTCCAAGTCTGTTCGCCGCAGCCTTTGGGGCATGACTGTGGCTCACTCGTGCGACGAGACTGTTCGAATGTGAATTGTAATAGTCGCAGCCAAGAACATCTCCTAATATCACCTTTGGTACAGCTTGAAGACTGGGCAAACACACCACCTGAAAAGCGTACGGGTTCTTCCATCGCGCACACACGTGGGCCGTCCCATTATGTAGTTACACCATACTGGACTTGAGAGGAACCTGGAGGGAGGTAAAACGATTACCAAACTTGAAGGCTACAGCAGCATATAATAGCAATGATAAACTATGATTATACCAAGCTGGTAAGTTACAGACTGCCGATTGGCTTGTTGTCCTAGGTCGTCATCTTTCAATGACCTGCGATGCTCTTCAGCGGTCCAGCTTGGACGAAGTAGATTCAGAAACTAGACGGGAAAACCTACGCCCCCCCGGGATCCCTTCTCAGAATAGCGGAATACAATCACTTGAGCGCTTTTGAAAGTCTCATCAATACCGCGACTGGAACGATGAGGAACATTAACCAATTGCAGGAAGGGTCGCAAAAGACAGAATCCACCATCTAAGCTGTCCCAATCTTATGAGATTCACGTTCTCATGAAATGACTACGCAATTCACGTGTCTGTGCCATTGCATGTGTCTGGAAGTTGCCTTGCTAGTCTCATTAGATGGGAAAGGCGTTCATGCGAGTCCATCGTCTTGCCCGCATGACGGGACCTCGAGGGTTGAGCTAAACCATAATGGCGGAACCCAGAGAACCCAGGTATCTACACAGATAAGAGCCTACTGATAAGGATAAACTATTAAAAGCGTCAGCATAGTATTGAAGTCACTTTTATGGCTTCCAGAACCGACTCAAGCCGCCATTTCATGGTTTTCACCGCTCTGGTTGGCCGTGGCGTGATTCTCCGAGTCGAGCCATTACGCTGGTGAGCCGAGCAGGTGGGGTACAAAATCTTCAATAGGCAACTTTTGAAGGCTTGCACCATCGGGTTCACGATGACGTGCTTGTCAGAGTAACACGAAGGATCAAAAGTCGTCTGACATTTGTCTTGATACGTCGGTTTCTGGTGGATGCGTCGTCTCTTATCGGAATTATGTGGATGTCGTCAGTGAAAACTTTTGGTATTTGCACCTTGCGTATGGATTTGCCCAGCCATGAGTAACGAGGCGTTGCTGATGGTGTGCTCTAAACGCTGCTGTGATGCTGCAGATGCAAGTGATAAGAGCAAGCATCTTTCCTTGCAACTTTACTACGGACTACTTCTTGCGGACATTCTTTGTCAAACTTAATGCTGCCTGATCACTGATTGGCAAAGATTAGTTGCATTGTCGTCTCGTAACTCGACAGTACAGACTATGGCCGACCACGACATCAAGGGAGTGGCAGAGCCACCTGCTACAGATGATATTTCCAATTCAGACGAGCGCTCCGCATCCGTGGCGTCGAACTCGGCGCCGACGGGAGCAAAGAGCCCGGAGCAAGCTGCCAAGAGCCTTCCGAAGACTGGCGCTGATGCTGCCCTCGAACTTCTCAACGAAACTGGCCCTCTAGCCCGCACTGTTGACCCAGAGCTGAATAGAAGGCTCAAGCACCGCATCGATACTCACATCATGCCGCTGATTTGCATCGTATACTTCTTGCAATATATCGACAAGACAGCCATCTCATATGCCAGCGTCACGGGCATTCAGCAATCCACTGGTCTCCACGGGAACCAATTCAACTGGGTTGCTTCCATCTTCTTCTTTGGCCAGCTCGCTTTCGAGTTCCCAACCATCCGACTCATCCAAATGTTTCCTCTTGCGAAGTACACCTCCATCAATATCATTCTATGGGGCGTCGTCCTAGCTTGCCTCGCCGCATGCAAGAACTACGCTGGCCTGCTTGTCTGCCGTTTTCTCCTTGGTGCGTTCGAAGCGGCTGTAGTGCCTGCATGGGTTCTCTTCACCTCCCAGTGGTACACCAAGCAGGAACAGGCATTCCGCGTCGGAATCTGGTTCTCTGTCTGTGGTGCAGCTCAAATGTTTGGTGGCTTCTTCGCATATGGCGTCGCAACACACGTTGGAAAAGACCCCAACGCAGCTTTGAGGGGTTGGCAAGTGATCTTCTTGTTCCTTGGTCTGCTGACCGCACTCGTTGGTATCGCGTTCTTCTTCATCATGCCTGACTCGCCGGCCACTGCCAGATTTCTTTCTCAGGAAGAAAAGGCGACTCACCTTGAGCGAATCCGGGATAATGAGCAAGGTATTGGCTCGCAGGAGTTCAAATGGAAGCACGTCAAGGAGGCATTGCTCGATGTAATGACTTGGCTTTATGCTTTTTGGATCTTCGCGGCCAACATCCCCAACTCTATTGCAACCAGCTTTGGCAACATCTTAGTGCGAGGCATGGGATACACGAGTGAGGAGTCGCTTCTTCTCGTCACGCCACTCGGGGCTTACGAGATCGTGGCGTTGGTCGGCCTGACTTGGCTAGCAATGAAGACGAGACAACGACTCTACTGGTGCATTGCCGGTCACATCCCTGCCATTATCGGTGCTATTCTCATGGCTACAACTTCGAAGGTCCCAGCCTTGATCGGGTACTACACTTCAGGAGGTATCCCAATCGGATGGACGACGATTCTGGGACTGCAGAGCACCAATGTTGCAGGTTCCACCAAGAAAGTCACCGTCGCATGCATTGGGACCATCGCATACACCATTGGTAACATCATATCTCCTCAGACCTTCCAGGCCCGGGATGCGCCTAGGTATCTCCCTGCAAAGATATCCATCTGCATTATTTACTTCTTGGTTACAGTCGACTTATTCTTGATGCGCTGGGTGTTGGAGAGAAGGAACAAAAAGCGTGATGCTGAAAAGGCGGCTTTAGGAGATGCTTATAAAGTGGAGGAGAACCACGAGTTCTGGGATTTGACGGATCTCGAGAATAAAGAGTTTAGATATGAGTTATAAGCTGAACATTATTGACGAATGTATCTTCGCCGTCTAATAGTACGTCCCTTGAGACACATGTTTCTTTTCATATACAATCTCATCTCGCAGCTTACCAGACCTCTTCCACTGTCTGTAGTTACATTAAGATGCTGTCATTGTCTTCGAATTGTTGCACAGGTGAAACCTTGGGACGAGTCAACTAGGTGCAGAGTCGATGTTGGTTCCACAGTTTAGTCAAGAGACTCTTTGAAACTCTGTGACTCGGAATCAGTAATGATACACCGCATTGAGACCCAAATCAGTTGCAGAATGTTTCTGCACTCACCCATGGTAGCTTTCCGAATGTCTGTTCTATTAGCTAGGGGCTTCACTAACGATGGATCGGCGCCTAGAGAGTCTTGGTGGTTATAGTCATTCTCCTTGGTGGCAACCCAAGACGTCGGACGGCCCTGGCTTCTCCACTGGTTTCTGTCTAAGCGTCGCGATGGCACCTGGCTGTCATACCATATTCTTCTCGGCCCAAGACTTGATGTTGATGTTCTGTATTTAGTGCGTTGCCCTCAAGGTATCGTGTTCATCGTGGTAGCGAGTGTAGCATTGTTGGCGAAAGACTTGGTTGCATCCTTCGGGATGTCCTCCAGCTGATGGCAGTCGCACTGCTTCATCCGTGTGAATGCCAGAAGCTTTTCCAGAACCGCAAATTCAACTTTCAACTTGATGCTGTAGACGATGGGTTTGCTAGTTGTCTGAAAGACGAAAAAGCCCGTGTACTCCAGAATGACGAGCCCGGTGTCGAGGAGGAACACCAACACGAACATACTGATGAGGAAGCTGAGCAGGACCTTTGCCTCCTGCGCCTTGAACTCGAAGAGGCTTTTGAAGTTTCGAAATCCGGCCCTGACGAAGATTCCGGTGATGATCATTTCCTGCAGAGTAAACACCATCAAAGATGCCTTTTCGAATATCTTGAAGCGGGTGTCCCAGACTGGGCTATTGCCTGCCCAGACTCCAGCGAAGAGGACCGTCTGCGGAATGTGAACGCAGAAGAAGGACGTTATTATCAACGCTAACACCAACTGGATAGTGATGCGATTGTAAACGACGAGATGCAATCGTGACCACAATACGACGGACTGGCCCGTGACCATGCAGTACCAGCCAATATGGGCGAATATCCCCGGTATCACCGTTTTCGTCGGCTGCATAAACCGACCCAGGCCGCCACACGCATGAAGCAGGATGCCGGTGTTGGCAACTAGCATGCTCCAGAAGTATCGTCCGCTTCGTCGGCGAAATCTCGCAAAGATTAGGACGTATAACTCGAGGGCGTTATAGATACCAGCCGTCGCTAGGCACGTAATCGCGATTGCCTCCTCAGTTGACAGGTTCTGACCTATCGCCCCCTTGACCTGCGCCATATCTCGGGGCGAGGGGGCCAGAGAGGCCGCTTTCTTTGCTCAAGCTCGTACACAGATCGATGAATGATTCTTGTTTTGACCCTGTAATATCGTGAAGTTAGGTGTAAGCCCAATAGAGATAACTGGAGCAAGCGGGGCCGATAAAGTCCGAGAAAGAGGACATGATTATTGGCCGGACCGAGATGGTTTTGATGTGTTTCACGGAATGCTATCATGGGGGAAGACTCGGCTGCCCCCGACCTTCTCGCAATAGCAAGGTTCGCCCGATCGAGTCATTGAAACATCTGACCGTTTTGCCAAGATAGCTTGTAGGTACACTCGGGATCGCACTCTCGGTCTCTGCCACTTCACAAAGGTCTCAGTTCGTCTTGCTATCCGTGCAGACAATAATAAAGGGACCGAGCGAGAGAAATCGCGCTCCCTATCAAGCAAAGTATGCCATTCTGCCATGATTCTCGCTTCCTTTTACGTCAAGTTTCATCATACTCCCCCAAAGTTCGCTGCGATTGCTAGTATTGGGTTTTGGTTCGCTGTTGAGTAGCTGCTTGGTACACTTGGCGATCATTGCCAAACCTTTCCTCGCCTTGGCTGAGCTTCGCTGTATCAGATTGGACATTATATGCATAATACTTACTCGGAATCACTTCCAGGCCCGGAAGTCGAATCATCGACTATTGAGCATTCAATAGCGCTACGCGATAGCGGTATATGAATGGATAAAGATGAGCCGGCTTAGTGAAACTCAATGCGGAGGTAGTCTTGAGACAAGATGAGCCAAGAATTATCATCCCATCCAAAGCCACGTGGGACCATTGGATCTAGCTGCGATTCCACTTCAGACCGCTTCATTGACTTTGGCATCTTCCTTTGAGGCAATTATGACAACGCAGTATACAGCAACCGCGGCGAAGAACACAAATAAGGCAGTGATTGTACTGAACCAGCCGACGCCAATGCTTTGAATTGCAGGCAAACATGAAGCAGTACCGACAGCTGCGATAGCGTATCGGAAGAAGTAGTTTCCCGCTGGATGAACACAAAAGTTGTTGTTATTTTGATGTACAAGGCAAGCTGTAGTGTGTAGAAGAGGGACGAACCTATGACTTCGGCGCTCCGGCCTTTGAACACATCCAAGCAATACGTGTTGATGCTGGGAAATGCGATTACCTGGGCGAAGCCCTGGATAAACATGCAGATCACCGGAAGTGGGATCCCGCCGACCGCCTTCTCAATGGACCAGCCGTAAATAATGATGCAGATAGGGATCACAGCTCCCATTGCCACGAATGAGCTCCTCAGACGGTCCTCGGGGACTCTACGACCCCTGATCTTGATCCATTGCTTGACAGTTCGGTCGGCCCAGCGTCCTCCGGCATACGTGCCAAAGAAGAAGCCACACCCTGGTGCGAGGAAGAAGAGCCCTGATTCGAGAGGCGACGTCAAGTGAAACCTAGGGTTAATGACGTATCGGATAGGGGTGAGCAATGCTTGCATGTTCCACACTAAGGCCGAGGCAGCCATTCCCTAGGTCGCATGATTAGAACGGTGAATGATAAAGAATAACTTCCGAGTGTAGCTTACAGCCACGAAGAGTTTAGGTATCAGCAAGAGAGCCAGTACACGGAACGGGTTTGCCCAGTCCCAGACCTGAGCTACCTTTGCCTTAGTGCTCAATCCCTTTAACTCGTCTGAGCGCAGTCGGTGGCTGGTTTCTGGGAGGAATGCCACCGCAAGGATTGCCGTGAGCCCGGCGAGAGCAGACTGGAACCAAAACAATGATCTCCAGCTATGGAAGTTCACCATAACGCCACCGATAAATGGGCCAAAGCTCTGACCGATGAGAGTGCCATTGAGGAAAAATGCAAGCGCGGTGCCTCGTTCCGTGGGCTTGTAGATGTCGCCGATGCAACTGGAGCCGAGCACCAAATATGCTGTTCCCGTGAACGCCGAAAACATACGGAAGACGAAGAAGGCTGCAAGGTTTGGCGACAAGGCCGTTCCTACATTGAAGGCAAAGAAGGTACATGCTGAGACAATGCAGGGCTGCGTGTTTTCTGTGAGCTCGTACCGAGATATTGAACCGAAACTTGTCAACCTACCCATTTTCGACCGTAAACTTGACTGATAGGGCCCCAGAAGAGGGTGCATATGCCCATGAATAGAACATAGATAGCGTTGCTGACGTTGATGGTAGTTCCAGTTGTGTTGAGATCGGCAGCGATTTCGGGGATGGCAGCTAGAAGCAACAAGGAAGAGACCGTCGACGCAATCCCGCCGCATGCTACAACGGCTGTTACGAGCCTCTTCTTGGCTGGCGTGAACCTGTTGTAGACAGCCTCGGTGTCTTGGCGGCTTAGACTAGCATCGTTCATGTCCACGGCCGGCACAATACTGCCACTCTTCTCCGCATTGGAAGTTGTCGGTGCCAAGTCCGGGGTTTCGGGCCGGCCGTCGCTGCTCGGCTCCGGCTTCTCAGACTGTTCGACTTCGTCGTGAGACATGTTTGCGGGCTGCCGATGTGGGACGAGAGACCTGGCTTGGCTTTCTCCGTTCGACCATGCGGGGATGAATCTGAGAAAAGACCGTGACTTGGCGACCACGTAGCACTGCCATTGCGCAAAAATGAATGGGAAATCCAAGTTTTTCAGAGCTAGCTGCCCGAAAAACTCGGCAAAGAAAGGACGTTGACCGACGGCATTGCGAAGAATCCACCCGGCGGAAACGTCTACTACATTGCACCTGGCTGACTTTTCCGACCTCGGTGACTGGACTGATAGATCATCCCTCGGAATAGCCCAGTTGTCCCCGCAAAATTGGTAGATGAATTGCTTCAAACAGAAGCCATCACTGCGTCCCCACGAATCAGACACCGCCTTGCTGAATTCAAGGTAGCATTGTTGGGGCGCGGGGGTTAGCCGCAACGGACATCTCCCGACGGGCTCACCCCGGGGCGAGCAATCGAGGCCAAATGGGTGGGGTTGACCGAGATCGAAACCAGCGCGGCAATGTTTGTGTCTTTACGGATCTTTTGTGTGGTACCCAGAGCTCCGAAATCGGCCGGCTCAGAACAAACGGCTCGGTCGCCGAATGCTCAGCCGAATTTGGTGTCGCGTGGTGTCAACGGGCCTGTCGACCTGTTGTCCTGTGCCGGACTCGGCTCCGGTGGTACGGAATCGTATTTTGAAACAGAGGTACGAAAGACATTGTGTGGTTGAGCCGCATCTTTATCCGCAAACTTAAAGGGAGTGTGTTAGCAGAGTGGTGCGTGGAAGGCAGCCGATCACTTGCTATTCCTCAAAGTCGCGTGTGTAGATATCCAAAAGAAAAGCGAGAAAAAATATCGCAAAACCTGTCGCAAATACAAGAGCTCTACGGGGTTCATCCACAGCACATCAACGTCAATTAAGCTTCTCCAGAGCTGTGATTTGGAAGTTAGCCCGCAACTCTCACCTTATGGGGGGAGATTGACGAAGAGCGATACAGAGTAATTGAGAGGTGTGCCGATAGCCGGGCTGATGATGACCCGAGCACAGGAACAAGATTCACTGCGGGGTGCGGGCACAATATGACTGCCCTCCCTGACCATCTGAAAGCAGAGAG